ACTAACTATTTTAATATTTCACACGATAATATAATAACTACCTAATAAAAATAACACATTGAGACATGTTTTAATTAGGAATGTTAAGTAAATAGTAGGTGTTTACAAATTGTAATAATAAAGTAGGTAGACGCTTAATCCTACATCAATGTGCCATATACATATTGTACTKCAGTCAAAAATCAAATGTTAAAAATAATTATAATATCAAAAAGGATTATAAATACAGACTACCTGCCACATGAGGTAGTTGAATAACATAAAAAACCAATTCTATTGTTGAATGGTTATAATGCTTACAAATATTTTTTTTTTTAGATACCCGCCTTTTTTACTAGACAGGTGGTTTATAGCCATAGGAACGTAGGGTGCCCAGTGAACCATAAAAATATTTTGTTTCTAAAAGACAATAATTCTTAGTTCTTAGGACAACAGACGAAAACATAAGTAATATCAGTTGCATCATTTATTAAAGTTCATAACACAGATGAAAACTTATTATGAGTTAACCTATGAGAAGTACCTAGTCAATTTTCGCGAGTGAAGTATATTACGTAAATGATAAATAATTAAGTAAATGGTACCTAGGTATTATTGGTTATCAAACAGTCTTAAAATACACTGATTATGACTATTTCACAAAGATTTGATTAATATAATACCTATGTTCAGTACCTAACCTAACCTACCTATGTAGATTTGGGTGCAATAGTGAATAGGTATTTAAATCCGACACACGAATATTAAAGATACTRGACCTTCTCGACCGATCAAGTAATAACAAATTACTTTACTATTACTTCAAACAGTCAAACATAATGTATTACATTTTCCATTTTCGATTACAACTGTGGCATACGATAAGTAATACAAATTATAGAATATTATATACTRACAGTAGTTAACTTCAATGTTATTAATGGTCGTRGCACAGAAAAGCGAGAGAATAGATTCTAGGTATACATAGTTTAAAATTAATCAAAATATTTTTAAAATCTATTTTGTATAATGCATAATAATATGAGTATTTGTTAAAAGTATCAAATCCTTCTAAATAATATTTGTTTAATTATTTTAATTACATCAAAATAACTAATATCGTTATTCGTCATAAATAATAAACATACAATTTCGTAAACATTTGAACTTGAAATGATGTTAAAATATAAATGTTTTTTTAAATATTTTTCAAATCAAACATATGAGAAACTTTAGTTTTACATTTTAAAACTTAAAGTATTAAAATTGAAAATTTTACTAATTTTCGTGATTWTGACACATTTTAACTTCAAACAATTATAAAAAAATATGATATTTTTTAAATATTTTTGAATCGATATAAGAACAACTGATGAAGAATCTTGAGTTAAAGTTTCAAAATTTTCAAAATTTAATTATTTTTTGAGTTGGTTCAACTTTGTTAAAAAATTTTATATTATTTTAAAATGTTAATTTTTGTGGGTTATACGATTTTGGAATTAAGTAGCCTCTACCATTTCGTAAACAATTATTATTATTGKTTTTTTTTTTGTTTTGGTAAAACAAATCTCAATATTTATCACTGTGAGTGATAATTATTGACTATGTGTTTTGTAAAGATTATATAATACAAATTTGATTTAAAYTAATTCAAATTAGTGTAATTTTCAGATACTCGTCATTATTCTAATTATGGCTAAAGTAGAATCAACCAGAATATCAGGAATAAGAGGATTATCCAGAATACAAGAGGTAATAAATAAGTTAAATTTGCATTTTACTACTTATTAATACATGKACATGCGGTTAAATTACAGATTCCACAATACCGTTTTCACTAYTATGTGCAAGATGATAAACCTGCAGTAGACTACAAACTACCACAAGAAGAAAACAAAAATGGAGAAAAAGTTGGATCATATTATAAAACTAATTCTAATGGAGATTTAGGGATTGTTAATTACCGTGTTGATAAATCTAATGGATTACAAACGGATGTAAATACCAAAAATGATGCTTCGCCATTCAAGATATCTTTAAACAATCCTGCATATGATACACAAACTGATGTTTCAAATGAATCAACTGTGTCTTCAGAAGCATCACCAATAGTTGTAGAACCCATAAATACACAAGAACCAATTTCATCGAAACCAATTGAGATGGATTCCAAAGATCAATATAATTCGGCAGAGAGCACTGAAAAAGCTACTAAACTAACTGAACATGTGGGCACAAACGAAACTGAAGATCGTAAAGATGACGTAAAAGACGAACAGGCAACGGATCAAGTATTAATCCAAGACGAGGAAATTACAACTAAACAAACAGAATTTACAATTCCTTTTAAAAAACCAAATCCAATAAATACAGATGATTTGATATATAATGACGATGAAGCTATGAAAAAAGATATTGTTAAAATGATACAAAATATCAATGGAGATCATGGGCAGTCTGATCCTCGGTTAAATTTTAATAGCGCATTATCTGATAAGCCACTTAAAGTAGTTGAAACTGATTCTATTGAAATGGAACGACAGGAAAGCCATCAACCAAGTCACGGATATTCAAAATTCAAAAACCAACAGTTATCAAACAAGCCATTGAGATTAATTGGATATAATCCATCAATTTTTGGATCATTATATGATACACAAGTTAGTTATAATGGGCCATCACAAATTCAACAGCCACCAAATAYGTTTAATCAAGGTTATTCTGTGGGATTTGGAACACACGGAGATATTAAACAACAGGCATATGATAGTTCTGGAATTCACTATTCTCAACCAAGTTTAAMCTCTCAACCAGGAAGTTACAAAGGAAGTCAGAAGTCTACTTTGCAAATACAAACACAACCACTCTATTATTACGATCCAAATTCAATGGTTATGTTACCAGTATATACCAATATGATCCAAAATGATTATTCCATAATAGAAAATAAGCCTCGACCAACTCAACAACAAGCAGATTCTGGTAAAAGTGGTTTTAATTTAATGCACATTTTAAGTGGAGGCAGTTTTTACAAGAGTTCAGAACAGGCAGAAAGTTCCCAACAAATGGCAGTAAAAGACTCAATAAAACCAGAATATAATAAATTCGAAAAATCAAAACCATTAGAAACACATGACAAATTCAAACTCTTAGAAACACATGACAAATCCAAACCATTAGAAGCACAAAACAAATCCAAACCATTAGGAGCACATGACAAATCCAAACCATTAGAAACACAAGACAAATTAAAACCACCACAAACTTTAATGTTTTATTTGAATCCAGGTGAACCACCAATAGATTTGAAATCACTAACATCAAGCCCAATGCACCTAACRATTGGTCAACAACCACAAGCTGACTGTAATGGTAAAATACTTAAGACACCAACAGTTAAATCAAATAAACCAMTGCAACCTATACCACTTTGTTCAGATTGTGTGCCAGCTTTGGGATATTTGGGTTTACCTAATACTAAACCAGCTGCAGTACAACAAAAGAAATCAATCGCTGCACCTCAGGTGATGCCAATATGGAATGGGCAAACTGTTTCAAAATTAAACTACTTAATCCTGCCCACTCCAATTTCTAAGTAATAATATAAAATAATAACTTAATAGGTAATTAATTACTAAGTACTAACAAAAAATGTAAAAAATGACTGATTAACATTTTATAATTGTAATCTTATAATATATCTAAGTTTAATTTCATAAATAAATAATAATTTTTAAATATTGTTTTAACATATTATTATGTATATTATACTCACAGTTCCCATTCTTTGAACAATATCTTCATTTACAGGAAAACACAGCTTTATTTTTTTATATAAGTAGTTTTGTTCATAATATTTAATAAGTTCCACTAGGCTTTCAAACTGTTTTACACCAATAGTGTACAATCGCCCTTCAAGTTTAATGCGGCAGTGTTTAATCTTCTTTTCAGCTCTAAAATAAAAATATTTACAAATAATTTCTAATTGGTTTACGAAAAATACAGCAAATATTTTTTGTTAGTTTACCTAAATGAAATAGCATAAAGATGTTTGTCATTTTCACATGGTCGCACCAAAAATGCACCTTCATGTGGCACTCGTCGCAATAATGCCTCAGCTCGACTTCTACAAACATGAGGAAGATACCAATTCATCCCTTCATGTTTTAAAGGCTGAGGTACAGGTTCGTTCAAAATAATATARCATTCCTAAMAGTAAATTATTATTATTTTATGTAATGAATATATGATGTATTTAAATTTAAACTTGAACATGAAATTTTAAATTTATAGATATTTACTTGTATACGTAATGGATATGTACGATAATAAGTTATCAAACTATATAAACTGTCAAATGCAGCACCGTCAATCAAATAATACTTTATTTGTCCTCTGTCATGCTTTGAACGTATTCTGCAGTGGTTTACTTTACCTAGATGCCTATTGATTGATAAATAGATAAGTTGATGATTTATAGTTAAAGTAATGATATGTTCCATAAATTTACCAGAATGAAAGGGAATAATCACCAATGAATGTATCACTTTGTCTTACTAAAAATGTACCAGCTCCCAAATGCTGATATTGCTTCAATAGTTCTTCAGCTTCATTTCTACCACGAGCTAATTTTCCATGAAACCAGTATTCTCCAAAATGTAATTCATCATTAGGTATACCCTACAAAATTTATATATTTTAACTATGTGTTATTACAAACAAAATATTGTATCGTGCAAATAATTGTGTAGTATCTAAATTATAAATATAATGCAATTTAAGGATWACATGATAAGTAGAAACAAATTTATAAACTGAATAAATATTATTATAAAATGGGTATTTTAATACTAGAGCACTACCCTAATCTTAGTACTACTATATATTTTGTTATCCAACTGATAATAAGAAAGAATAATGAATATTACAAAATACATACATGGGTTTTTTTTTTAAATTATCACTAGTAAAGTCTAGTAACATGCAGTCCCTAAACTAATATTATTTGGTTTTATGTAATTTTGACTAAACAAAAGAAAAATTATTTAAGTGATAATATGTCATGTAATTAAATGTTGTGCGTTTAAAAATATTGTTAAAAACATAGTTTACCTAAAAAATATATTGAAGTTATGTAATATTATTATTTCAATATTTAATACAACAAAAACAATATACCGAACTGATAACATTGCATGGTAATCTATGATAATTTACTTGTTAACACGGTAAGAAACAAGCTTTTTTGTTYGATAAACAAATATTAATAAAATACAATTTTCATAGTTAGTGGTTACAAATACATTAAATTTGGATAATGAGTAAGATACAAAATAAATTTCAACAGATTTATACATAATAGTACACAATTCCAAATTCATGAAAATGATTTTGGGTTTAAATTTTAGTCTGAACCACAAAATATTTTTGTGAATTATTCTGACCATAAATAAATTATTGCATACTATTAAATGTAACTATAATATTTTATTATACTTCAATGTGCATGATATAATACTTATCTAATACATGTATTAAATTCAACTAACTTCTCTCAATCGATTTGCACTAGATATATCACTAGTTTCCAACTCTCCTCCATCTGCTTCATCTTCATTATCAATATCTGATTTACAKAGGTCTGTATAATAAAGTTTGTTACCAGAAAGTACAAAAAAATGAGGTCTCCATTCTTTTTCAAGCAAATCTTCAAGATAAAGTACTCCATTTTTTTTCGTGTTTCTTAAATCAGTGTCCTTAGCTAAAAGAAAAAGTTATGCAAATAAGCAAAAATATGAAACATAAAATATATAATATTTATACAATCATCATTATTTCTTATTGTGACAGCTTGGTCTCCATTAACTTTCTCTGGAAGTCTTTTATGTTTAATTATGAACTTATACATAAGTTGTTCAGGTGAAGGCATTTTAGTTTCATTCCGGTCAACTGGTTGTGTAAGTAACATATCCCCTAAYAYGTCAATCATAGTTGATGCCATATTTCGCTGTTGTGGTATTGAACAGTTGTCTTCTATTGACAAAATAACTGGATACCTAAAATTATAGCAATTAATTAATTGATTAATAAATGTCTATATAWATTTAAATTTTCMTTACGGCGAAGCAATAAAAGCATGTTCTTTAATCGTTTTTAGGACATCTAAAAATTTTATACGACTGGTTAATGTATGTCCATGATATATTATTGGCAATCCATCTGGTCCATCCCAACAATCTAATTCTATACAGCGACATCCCCAGCGTAAACACCTTACATATGCCTCAACTGAACTTTCACTAGATACTTGATCACCAGTTAAATAGCTGAAAAAAATTATTAACCATATTTTTAATAAGTAACATCAATATTTTACAAATGTTATAACTATTTTTACATTAAATAATTTATTTTTATGACTAATGCATATTAAAATATATGTTCTTATTAGTTTAAATAAGTATGTAAAATATTATAAATAAAATGAGATTGTTCACTTTATTTTATAGATCATAAAAATGTATTTAAAGTAAAAACATAAAGTTCATAATAACTAATAACTTATATTTAATTAATTTAATATCTAATTAAAAATATTTATTTATACATATTATATATAATACGTATCTATAGTAGAATTAGTATATATTCTATTCTATTAGATATTGTTAAGCTAATTTATATTAATTGTTAGCCCTTTGTTACGCATTTATAAACTTTAATATCTTGATAACATACAAATTATACTAACGTATTATGAGAAGATGCTATCCAATAATGCGAAAGAGGTTTTGTCATATCCTGAAATATATTGTCATAATATTGATCCCATATCTCATTTTGTTTTGAAAACAARTAATCCATAAACTAAAAAAAAAAATTCCATTATAATATTATTTTATAACATAAACAAATAAAAAATTATATTTAACTTGGAAGCTTAATCTGATATTTTATGAAGTCTTTTATCTTTTTTAAAGAACCATTTATCCTTTCTTAAACGTAAAAATAAGAACTAATTACTAAATAATTSTATACAATCATTTTMTTCTAAATTTATTCTTCATTACGGTCATTAAAATGGCAGACCAGTATAATTTTATTTATTTATCTTACTTTAATAATATAATCTCAAAAAGTAAAATATAGAACCGATTTTAATTTATTCTACATTTATACGACGAGAAAAATGTTAGATGATTGGCCCTCTACAGTATTATTTTATAGAATCTCAATGATAAATTTATGTACATAATATTGTATTACTAACAGCAAAATACTAGATAAAAATGTA